CTTGGCCACTCAATTTAATTGGGAATTAGATCAATTAGATGTCAAAACAACTTTTCTAAATGATTATTTAGATGAAACGATTTACATGAAGCAACCTAAAGGTTTTGAATCAGATCGGAAAGCTGACTTAGTTTGCCTTTTTAAAAAATCTCTATATGGCTTAAAACAAGCTCCAAGGACATATAAAAGATTTGATAATTTTGTACTTGGGCTTGGTTTTAAGAGAAGTAATTGCGATACATATCTTTATTGTAGAGGAAATTGTGGAGAAAACTCACTTTATCTACTCCTTTATGTGGATGACATGCTATTAGCAAGTCATGACATAAAAGAGATACAAGAAATAAAAGACAAACTAAAATCAGAATTTGAAATGAAGGACTTAGTATTGACGTTAAGAGAAATAGAAGAGAAGACACACTAAGTCTTAGCCAGAAATCATACATTCTGAAATTGCTAAAGAAATTTTCCATGACTGATTCCAGAAGTATGAGTGTTCCCTTGGCTAATCACTTTAAACTTTCATGTGAACAATGTCCTAAATCTGAAGAGAAATTTAAAAGAATGGCAAGAGTGCCATATTCTAATTCTGTTGGGTCAATTATGTACCTTATGATTTGCTCCAGACCTGATTTGGCATATTCTATTAGTGTTTTGAATAGATATATGTCAAATCCTGGCAAAACTCATTGGGAAGCCATGAAATGGCTTCTTCGTATATTAAGGGTACTTCAAATTTAGGAATTCAATTTAGGAAACAACCTAAAGGTGTTGTTTTGAAAGGATTTATTGATTCTGATTATGCAGGTGATAAGGAAAATAAGAAGTCAACTTCAACTTATATGTATACTTTGCGTAATTCCTGTATAAGCTGGAAATCTCAGCTTCAAAAGATTGTTACATTATCATCAATTGAGGTAGAATACATTGCTGCCACATATGCCATTAAAGATGGAATTTGCTTAAAAGATAAAAATGAGTTTGGTTTTGGTAAATAAGTTGTTCTTTATCCAGATAGTCAATCTGCCATTCATTTAAGTAGAAATCTTGTATTACATAATATATCTAAATATGTTAATGTTAGATTTCACTTTATAAGGGATATTATTTCACAAGGAGTTGTAAAACTTGAAAAGATGGCTACTAATTATAATCCTGCTGATGTAGGTACCAAAGTGTTGCCACTAAACAAGTTCTTGGATTGTTTAACTCCGTTGAACATTACTGTGTGTTGATCTGAGGATCTGGTAAGGTGTGCTAATGATGTCTAAAATGGGGGAATAACGACTGATGAATGTGAATCATTGTACCAAGGTGGAGAATGATAGGAATGGCACAATGATGCAAACACCCTTTTTCAGCTGGACTATTGATCGGTTGACTAATCCTTATGTGTTTTTTAAATGGTGCAAAGTAGTGTTTCTAAATTGATGAAAGCTATGTTTTATCTTACCTTTAAATGAACACTTAAGATGTCGCCAAGTGTAATCTCTACGACCATTGGATGAGGACCTTTTGGGTGACTCTTATAAAAGGCTTCCTAGGGTTTGCACTGTACATTAGCTTCTGATATTTTTCTCTCTCATTCTCTGCGCCGTTCGAGTTTTCTACTTTCTTCTCTCTAAAAATCCAAAACTCTCTTTTTGATTTTGGTTACTCTCACAATATTGTAATCTTAAATGATTTTTACTTATGATGAGTGTTGTGTTCATGTGTGAACAATTGTTCTTAAATGATGGTTGAGTACTGTGATTTTACTGATTTAGTCTGAGTGTCGAAAACCTATCATTTTACCTTGATTGTATTCCATTCAAACGGAAGCTATTTTTTCAGTGACTGAGGCGCTGGTATTTGGGTTATTGCCTTAGGGCAACTATTAATGAATTTCTCCTTTACAGTTTGTTTTGTTCGTTTCTTGTTTATGTTTTTGTTGTTCTTAATCAATCTTCACGAGACCAATAGCATCTAGGAAATTTTGGTTGCTAATTAATACGAGTTGTCATGAAGAGTTTGTAGTATCAAAAACCTTTTGTGTAAGTACACAAGGTTAGTAGAGATAAAAGCATGTAAAAATATAATGATATGTTGATGAAAACTAATAACAATTTCAATGTACAAGTGTAATTTGCTTTTGTTAAATAAAAATTACAAATTTTAATTAAGTTACCAAATTGGAAACATAAAAATAAAAAATAAGGACCATTTCAAAAGGAAAAAAAAGTATAGCTTTTAATCCACTTTTAGTGACCGATCGAGGATCCCCAAATTTGGCCTCCAAGGTTCCATGTCCCAAGGAGTCCACTCTTCGTTACTAGGTGTGCAAAGTTCGAAATATTCAATAAGATGTTAGATAATACATAAATATGATGACTTCATTAGTGCACTATTCTATGCCTAATTTTAGGCGACCTTCTCATATGAAAAGAGGAGCAAAAATATTCACTATGGGATTTACTTGTGTTAAATCTTACTTATCATAGTTTATCAGTAAACTAGCTTACCCCAATTAATTTTGATAGCTCTTCAACGCCCATTTATGCGAAAAATCTGCAGTGGCTGTTTTATTTTTTTTGGGTGCCCACAATTAAGGATGACAAAAAAAACTTGTCGGCTCGGGCGGCTCGGGCTCGGGCTAGGGCTAGCTCAGAAAAAGCCCAACCAGGGTCCTGCTCCGGCTCGATTACACCGAGCCAAAGCTGCCCATTATTAAAAAAAAAAAATTAAATTAATTTTTTTTTTTGAAAGAGCTGCATGTGCACAGGCAGCCTTCAATTAATAAAAAAAAAATTTCAAAAAACTTGAGTCGGCTCGGCCCGAAAGCTCAGGGCGAGCCTCATTTATTTTTGCCGGACTTTGCTCGGCTTGGGCCCAAAAAAGCTCGAGTCGAGCCGGAGTTTTTTTTTTTTCGATTCGACTCGTTGACATAGCTACCCACAATTGTGTGTTTTCACTTACTTCTCTCCACAAAAGGCTTTCAAAAACCTTTAGTTCTTAGGCAATGAAAACAGTAGTTAAAGAATCCCAACAAAAATTTCATTTCTTCTTTTATCATTTAAAGTTACCATTTTGTCATTTCATGGTAATTAATTGCCTTATCCTACTCCTACATAAATAAAAGAGTCACTTTTTTTTACTATTCATAAGTCGAGCCAAATGATTTGACGGCTCGACTAAGCCCTTTTTTTTGTTTCTTGTTTTTTTAGGTTTGATTCAGTATTTTAAATTATAAATATTCGTTTTAAGGGATTTAAAATTTGTTAGAAATGTTGAAATGCGGTCATGATAAATATATGATTTAACTTTATTTTTCTAAAATTTTTCGTTTGATTCGATATTTCACGATATCAATATCAATTTGGATCGATTTAAATTTTTTTTAAAAAAAACTTAAAATGTGATAATAATAAATATATTGTCGATTAAGTTTAAATATAAAAATTATCTTAAATTATTAAACATAAAATCATAATCGTTAATTTTTCTTTTCTACCCCATCCGCAACCCCTGTACTCACACAAATTTCTCTCAATTTCAGTTTTCTTCAGTTTTTATGTTTGATTCGATATTTTACAAATGTTTATTGTCAACTATTTAAAATTTATTTAAGAGTTTAAAGGGCGACTATGATAAATATATGATTGATAAAGTTTAAATAACAAAAATTATCTTGCATGAATTATTAAACATAAAAT